CGCGAATAGGAGCACATAGCGCCCGCGGCGGTAAGGCGTCTACGGTTGCGATAAGATGAGAAGCAAAGGGATCGACCGCAATCGGAACTGAACCGATTAATGTTGCATTATCAAGCTGTGGCAGCGTTTTGATAGCCATGACACCCTCCACAACCAACCATTTAGTGCACTCAGAACCATTGCACGGGCTATTCGTGTAGCAGCTGAGCGTGACCTGTAGGGTGGCTGAGCGGGGAATAGCTGAGGTTAATTTGGGGGATAGGTGAGTGATGGGTGCCATACTGACGCGACCGACGCTCGCCTGAACAGGAGCACGCAGCAACTGCGGAGATCGAAGCATCCATGGCTGTCATAGGATGGGATGAGTGTAATCGATTATCCATGACCAGATTTTGAACTTTTCATTATGAAAGTGCCCTGCTATTATATGGCGCGTTTCTACATTTATTTGATTAGAAGACAGCGGTTAATCACCATGAGAGCATCATGAATGCCTAAGACAGTAGTATCGCACTGCTTATACCTTACTTTGCTCCTTTCTTTCACGAGCTAAGAAGTGAGCCTCAGAGCAGTTGCATGAGCCCGGCGAAGCCGGGCTTCCAATAAGGAGGAGAGCTCGGCGTGAGCCGGGCGATCCGACTGGTATTCATTTAAACTGAGTTGTTCTTCACATTTCCATATTCACATTCTTCAAATAGTGTCATAACATGTTATGTTCGAGTGAACAGCGTAATCGATGAGAGGTCGGGAGGCAGCGAGCAAGCAATTGAGTGAGGTCGCACTATAAGAGAAGAGGTGCGAAAAAGTGGACTGCACAAAAGTCACATACCCGCGAGTGCTCTACACGTGGCCTCCGCTTACAAGGCCTCTTCCACCGCGACGATGTACTAAAGATATCAACTTTGTAGAAAGCCCGACACGCTGAGTTGTGGGCATATAGCGGAACTAATGTTTTTAGTGCAAAAACTGTGTGGTGTTGCCAGGCTTCTAATTTTGGGAAAGTCACATAAAAATCAAAGTTCAATTTCAATCCAATAGGACATTTCGGTTTCCACTACGCTCTGGAGTTTTCTCATATTACAGCTCAGTTTTAGTTTGTTACGCAGGCCACTGATTAGGCTGCATTCATTCGCGACTGGAGCGTTTCCCAAACCGCGTGAGTGCGACCAACAGTCATCGGATCGATGTAACGTCCAACCAGTTACATTCTGTAAACGTGTTCTAACTCCCCCCACTGTCCACCGATTGAAGGTGAAGCACGGCCGCCCGCACTTGCGCGATTAGGCAATCGCTTCGAGCACTTACCGATCACATTTCAGGCGTGATGCTGGCTTATTGGGTTGTGATGATTCATGGCATTATGCAAATAAAAGTCGGACTATCGTCAGAAAAGCTCTTCCTCGACGATTCACCACTCCTGGAGCTTGTACGGATTCAGACAAACGTTATCTTCAAGGAAGGAGGCCAGGTTACGTTTCTTCCCTCCTATTCAAGCATTCTACATAAATAATCCACTAACAATAATTGTGGGTGTGTGTGTGTGCGTGGTGTGTGATTCGTTCGTTCACGGCACATATAATTTGTAGCGGGGTCATGGCGACTGTAGGAAGTTGAGCAATCCAAGTTGTTACAAAGCGGAATGGATCCAGCGAGTTATTTGCTAGATAGGACGAGAGAACTGTGGTATTTGATGTCACATCCTACTTCGTTTCACACACCCTTCGAGATCTTGTCGTGGGCAGTACAGCAGGAGGTCATGGAGCTTCTTGACCGAGATTGCTGACTGCAATTACGTTTATTCCGAGGGCACCTAGGTCAACAAATGTGTATTCTCCATGTAATTGGAAGACAGGAATGTACGAGTGACGCGGAACAAAACTTACTGCAGCAACAGCTGTTGAGCCTCGAAGAAACTCATCTCCGTGAATGCTGTCCTTCCCGTGGGCGTGGACATTAGATCCGCAGCTGCGGTTGCGTTACACATATTTCCAGTCAAAAGAGCGCATCAACGAGACTGCAAGGTAGCGCTGTCCGGATGCCGTTTCCATACACCTCACGCGCTGTTGCACGGCGAGCCAGGCGTAGCCGAACGCGCTTCTTTTTTTTGTGCCCTTTCACTTCTATTGGCTCTCTATCGCTGAGTGAGCGTATTACTCCAGGCCCATGATATCGACGCAAGTGCACCTTGAGCATAGCGAGGGCGTAGTATCGAAATGGCTTTCGTGTACCATACCCCTCAGCCCCGTTCCCGTGCACGTTTCTTCGGAGAAAGTGGCACGCTACTGCAGCTGTGGACCTTTTCGCCTTACCCATGGTAGGGAAAAGCGGGCATGTTTTCTCTTTAATGCGAGAGGTACTCTTTTATCACTGATGTCTCTGCCTTCTCCCCCTCAAGAAGGATGTTTTTCTCAAAAAACATTCTTTGGTGTAAGTCGAGGAAGTCGGACACCCTCAGTTGATGCCAGCCTTTCGTTCTTCCCAACAAAATGGTAAGCTGCCATGTAATGCTTACAAGGGAAGAGGTTCTAAAAAGGTGGATTGTTCTCGTACATGTGCACGAGTGCATCCAGGAAGATTTCTGTGTGGTGTTGGACTCCACAAAACCACATCATAGTCCACAGTTTCTCAGAGTATATGTGCCTGGCTGCGTTGTCAGAACCCGACTCTAGTTAGACGGTTCTTAACAAAGCACTCTTATCCCAAACTTTTAGGTTGCCGTATTCGTAAATAATCCAAGCAATATGCATCATCGAGAGACAGTGCCAGAAATTATGAGGATTCTTCGTCGGTTCGAAACCGCCAACAACAGCGTTGGAGCTGCAAGCACGCATATGTGGTTGTTGCCCTATCTTCCTTATGTTGGTGAAAAGGTAAGTGCAAATTCAGCAAATATTTTTACATGCGAATAGAAAATATTCAAGGAACATGGTTCAATTGACTTCAAATATCGGTATATGCCAGAATTCTTCAAACTACCGGAGTATAGGCGGTGGAGTCACTTTGTAAATCTTGGCGATCATGCGTATGTCTTCGTAGTAGTCTCGAATTTCTTATCCTAGAAAAGTTTTTTCAGCGATTGTCTAGCTGAAAGGCCTTCGTGTCTACAAAAGTTTGTGTTTTCTACGGGTTTTCACAATGCTGTCACCTGGACAGAGCGACTGAACTTACTGGAACAGTGGAGAAACATTGCAAGCGAATATCGTCACCTTAACCTCACCGTCTATGAAGACTTCTCGATGTACTCAGATCAGGTACTTTGATTAGATTGCATCTCATAGTAATCAGCTAGCGAACGCAACTCATACAATGCCCACACATAATTCAGTTGCTATCCATCGTTCCTGTGACCCAACAGACAGTGTTTTTCGCACTGGTCTGTATGCTGATAGTGCTCGTTCTCTTCACGCCTTCTCCAGTCACCATTGTGACGTCCTCCTGCTCGGTATTATCAATAAATCTCGGTGAGTCTATGTCAGGTCTTCTTTCCGTCATCTTGCTCTTGCGTGCTTCGTGCTAATTGTAATCTGAGGACTGAATGACTCAGGATGAGGATTCTGTGAGGATTCTGTGCCTTAGTGAGGATTCTGTGCCTTCTGACTTGGTTGTGTAATACTATAATGTTTCTTACACAATTATGCCACACAACGAAAACAGTTCATCTTTAATGGGATTTCAATAGATTCACAGATAAACATGCTAAACAGAAAGATTAGCTAACCCGTATTGGGTAGACTAAACACTTTAACGAGCACGACTAGGTTTTCGTTATCGTCTCATGTTGAAATCAATGCATTTCACATATGCCATCTGGTCATACTTGAACCTCCTTCACACACTACACAGTCTTGCTATGTGAAATAAATATTTCGGATAGTGGCCTTGAATCACAAACCTGCAGTCGCCGAGTGATTATGCAGGAAAACAAACGCAAACGAAATCGTAGAGAACATCCTAAGTAAGCACCTCCTGGCAGCTTATCCGTACCAGTTATCCGGACTTGCTGCTTCATGCCAACGAAGCTATGTACTATCTAACAATAAGAGAAGCTATGTACCATCTAACAATAAAATCTAATCTAATAATAACAATAAAAAACGAAAAACACGGTGAAAAAATTGACTTTGTGACAGGAAATAGCGTTGAGAACATCGTGAGCTTATGAGAAGTTTTGTTGGATACTGTAGGTGATCATGTGTGGACCACACAGGTGGGTTGCTGAGCAGCACAGGGAATGCCAAAAAGGAGAGTAAAGAAATTGCTAAGAATGCACTATTTATCCATCTTATTTGTCTCTGTTCTAGCTGTAGCGTAGAGTAGATATAGTTTCTAGATATGACGCGATTCGTCGCCAATTTGGTGCGAGAGTTTTTCCACACTGAAGTCACTGCCAGCCTGCGCGCAAGGGCTATTAAACGCTGAGCTGGCCCCAGATGGCATCAGCGCAAAAAACAAGTGTCAGAATCTAGGGGTCCTCAGTTACCCCTGTAAGTTTCGGCACTAGAATATTATTGAGCTTTTTGAGTTATGATGGGTGAACCTGTCTACTAGTGGCTATCGATCTCCTCCTGAATTGTTGTCCAATCTCGTTACCTGAACCATTTACTAGTACACCGAAGCACAATTAACTGCAATTACAACTGCAAAACTCAAAAATAGAAGGACACATACACATATACTGCACGCCATCCACACCTGAAAATTCAAAGAAAAAAGTTCTTTTTCTCCCGGCAGGGGGTGAGGAGGTCTTCGATAAAAGCCTGGACGGTAAAAAATAAGAAAGATCCATGGTGCTCGTTCCCGTGCTCTGGTGATAGAATGGCGTTTTTTGAAGACGTACGGATGCTAAATTCATGACCATTGATTTTGCCAGTGACCTACACGATTATGGAGGTGTGAGCGTTCACGTGCCACTGCCATGCAAACAGGGTACAGCATCGTTGTGCGAAACCCATAGGGGGTCGTACTTGGTCGCTGTGGGGGGGGGGGGTTCGTAGCCCTAAGGTCACTCAGAGCCGGGCAATGCTTGGACATTTCAGTTGATAGTGGGAGTGGAGCTATGGAAGTAAGATGTTAAAAAAATGAAAATTATTATGAGTGTATTCTTTACAGATTGAACTGCTACGTTTAACAGCCTTCTTTTCATGCAAAATCCCCAAAAATGGGTTCGTACTTGGCTGCGGAGGACGTGGGGAGTATCGCAAAAGTAGGCTTTGCAGGCATCAACCAGCACAAAGGTGTCATTGCTAAGTTTGATGGTAGGAACGGAAAGCTGCAGAAGACCCGGATGTAAATAGGATTACAAAATAATGAAAAATTAATTAGCAATATAGCAAGAATATCAAGAATATATAAGGAAATAAATAAATAAATAAATAAATGTCGCGTTAGTAGCATGAACTCGTAGTACGTACGTAGATGACTAAATAATACGTCTCAAGCAGATTCTTGCGTATTATCCTTTCCAAACCCTAACAAAGCATCTGCTCGCAGAGGTGAAAGCCTGAAATCAGAATTTACCCCTTTCCACCACCTCTGCATAGGGCGTAATGCACGGCGCGCGCTCGGACCAAATCGATCAATGTAAAGGGAAATATGTGTTTTGAGGCACACTGATGTTCTCGAAGGTGTTTTCTCAGAATGGCACAGAAGAAAGTCGATTTTTCGGGTGGGTCAGAGGGTAGCGCGTCTGTGACCCATCTAAAATATCTCCTAAACTGGTGGGTCTTCAGAAAAACCGTGAAGCTTGTTGGAAAGAGAAAGGATGGAGGGATTTCAGGACGTTTTTAATCCTGATGAAATTGCGTTTGAACGAAGCAATCCTCGCGTGAAGCATGGAAACCAGCTCGCGATTCACCCCTAGCCTATCCAAAACCCATCCGGAATATTTCACCAACGGAGGATTGTTCAGTTTGCAACTAGGTAGAATACACAACAGTAGGAACTTTGCCGTTGCATGCTGCTCACCATTCCTCAAAAGCTCCGCACCTAAAAGAGATATAAGCTCCTGAAAAGACCCCAGAACGCTCACTTTCGAGTTACCGCGCTCCAATGACGTTTTTGCAGCGAAAGCGGTCGCAGTCTTATAATAGCCAAGTATAGAACGATTTACTGCTGCCTTGTCTTCCTTTTTTTCATTTGGCTCTGCATTTTTTTGCATTTTTCATGTTTCGCTTTGTTGTGTCGTTCATGTTTTTATGATTCCCCCGTTACCATTCATTGAATGCACACCTGGGGCCTGACACGCTGACCTTGGGGCTACTTCTTTCACCAAAGCTTATTAATGATCACCATTAGTCGCTGTTTCGATTGTGTTCCGTGTTACAAGTTGCATGTCATATATGGTTGTCGAACGAGGAATTTTATTTTGAATCCTAAGACAAAATTTAAGGTAATGCGAGGCTGTTGTTCAGCCTCATATTGCATGAGGCTGAAACAGCCTCTTATTGCCTGGATTTTAGAGAAGAGACCAGCTTTCGAAATTCCGATTCCATTTCAGGAAGTTATTTGTTGTGAACATGCATCTGGTTGTCAGTTAAAGCAAGAGGTTGGGGGGTCGTATCTGATCCCTCTTCGAGGGGGAGGAGTCGTACTCACACCGCCATTTCGCACATCCCCATGCTGTACCCTGCATGCAAATGGTCGCATCTATTGAGACTATAAAAGCTTGAAATTTTTTTCGCTGAGGCATCTGGGACCAGCATGGTGCTAAATAACCACAGCGTGCTACAAGAATCACCGTTAAACTTCAGTGTACCTCACTACATGCCTGGCAAAATACCTGGATGCCTTATTCTTAGTTGTTTTTCATGCCTGATAGAAAAAAAACTTGAAAACTATACGTACCTCAGACGGAAAGGATCCGTATGGCTGAAATCGCCAGGGATTCTTCCTGGTCCTTTTTTGCATTGCCCGTACTGCTCAGCAAAAATGAACCTCACATCTGTGGTGCATCCCTACACCATGCAACTAACCAGTTCGAAAAAGCTCACTGTATCCTAAACGACGTCGCTCGTTAGACAAGGCGGACCGGACTACTTGAACACGGAAACACACCTACGTGTTGGTCCCCGGGAATGTCTTGATAGGAAATTCCATTGGCTAGCACAACTTGATAGAATCGAATCCTTTTCTTAAAACTCTGTGATAGAAAAAAGTAACGGATGTTCAGCTGTCTAGAAACTCTATCTCCTACAACTTCTTCACCATAGATGGCTTTGGCACAAGTCTCAGATCCTTTGACAACTCCTTCGCTTGTGCTTAAAGGCAGTTGGCACGATAAATCCCTATACAGGTCTAGGGTTTACACAACGGGCTTAATAGAATTCCGTGACCTCGGACAGGCGCTGCGTAAAGCCTTTTTCAAAGAGGGTACCTCTATAACGCCCTATTGAGCAGCAATTTACATCTCAAACGCCTTCCTTGCCCGCCCGCCTACTGTTTTCTCCCATAAGCTCTGTTTACCTCTATAAGTCCTGTCACTATCTCTCCATCACTATCGAGTGAAATATAAACCTCACTCATGGCAGAGTGAGGTTCAATTTTATGGAATTTGCGCTTGTGTTCTCTATGTTACGACAATAAAGAAGCTATGCTACCCGTCGTGGACCACAAGCTTCACAACGGCGACCACGGAACAACAAAAGGACCAGCAATCCGAAGAAGCAAGAAGAAGCGGCTCTACTAAAACAGCAGGAATCCAGATACCAATCAAACCAAACATCTCTGCATCACGTGAGTGCACTTGTAACCATCATGGTAGTCTAAATGTGGGTCACCCACATCAAAATACCTCGGATCACCACAGATGAATGTATTAGACCCATACCTTTTCTCCAGAGTTAGATTGCACACTTTCACTGGGAACTTGCTCGAATTCCCAACTTTTTGGGCACAATATGATACCTTAGTGCACTCCAAAATGACTATCTCGGGAGCAGAAAAGTGAAAAGTTTTCAATTCTCAAAATTATTTGAAAGGTCGAGCCTTAGAATGCATTGAAGGAATACCAATCACTTCAGAAGACTATTACACAGCAGTTGACATCTTATGCCAAACGTGCAATAACCAACAAGTCCTTCGTCACCTAATTTACACGGAGCTAGCAGGTCTCCCACACAGAAGGAAGACACCTGCAGGATTTCTATTTGAAGATGCGGCGTCTTGTCCGAGAGTATAACTCCATCACCCCAGATACGGCAGAATACGGACTAGGGGCCCTCCTCTACAACAAGCTCCCATGATTTGTCCAATCGAGAATCTACGACGTCACAGAAGGAGAGATGAACCTCACCCGTGGTCAATTAGTTGATCTGCTCGCCGAAGTTGTAAGAAAAGAGACCACTTTGATGCAACTTGGAAACTACGCCAATTCTTATAACTCCAGCCGTTACAGTACAGGAAGAACGTCTGCATCAAGAGACTCTGAACGGACCAAAGACTGGATTTCACGCAAATCTTGCCCCTTTTGCCTCAGATCGATAGTGCTTTCCAGTGTCGAGAATATAGCACGCCGCAAGA